GCTGCTGGTTGGAGACCCCTGGATTAGAAGAACTCCCATTAACAATGCTTTGTTTTGTAAATGGCAGCAGTTTTGCCTTACCACCATTCAAGCTTACTTAGTCTAGTGTCCCATGAAGCTTTCTAGGTATCCCATAAGCTCAATCACTGTCGGCAGTTTGCCTTTCTGCCATTTCCCACTCGCAAAGCATCCAAAATACAGGAGTGTTGTCATCAGATCACTGTGCAAAAGCCCTGGTTATTTTATATGGGCATTCATTGATCTTACAACAAGAAGTTTACAAACAGGCTGAAATGGAATGTTAGAAAAAGCATTTCACTTTTATAGCCCTGAGAGTTGACTTGTTAATATACAACATCCATTTTAGTATTTGCAGAAAATATTCATATGAGGGCATACTGGCTTTTTGATCACTTGTGCACTTTGCCAAAATATCATTTTGGGGTCACTTTTTGATAATTGTAACGTCCACGTATGGCTCAGGAAGAACCGTACAGAGTACATTTGATAACAATCTGACTTATAATAAAATAATCAATAACAGAAAAAGAAAAAAAATGGTCCAGAACAGGTATTAAATGTAAGTGAGCTTGGTCCTACCTGGACTCATTGAACAAGAATTAGAATTTGTATAATTTTTATTTTGCTTTTCTCTCCCCTTTACATTCTTACTGTATGAACCCTCGGTGGGCGGTCCTAACTCTTCAAGAGGTCATGAGCACACTGACCTGCCAAGCATATCTCACCTGGCCTGGTGGGGGGTGTTACCCAGAAAAAACGAATTCCCCATTATTTGTAGCTGCCACTTCTTTCCTCTCAAAAACGGCTTTACAGGATGTGTCCAGAAGTTGCTTTTGTGTGTGAATGCTGACCAGTTCTAGTTTTTAGCCGCTGTGGGACTTTTGAATGCCCCACCGTTAAAATGATGGGGCTGGTGCTGGCTAACGCATTGCAATTTATTTTCACATTTTCCCTCCCTGAGCCATTGTTGAAAAGGCCCAATAGACAGCAAAATGGTGCACAATTAGTTTCAACAGCGAGATAAGCTGTTGTGTGACCCTCCCTGGACAAAAATGTAAATACAGTTTATTTTTTTGTTTTTGTACAACTGCCTTTTATAACATTTTTGACTAAAAACGCTCATAAACTTATAACTAGTGGTTCATTGGTGTTGTCCTGTCAAAAACCACCATAACGGTTATAATAAATAAATAATGACTTAAGAGAACGAGTTGGCTGATTTTCAAAAGATACGACTTGTGTAATAGTTTGACTGACTAAGATCCAAAAAAGTAATGCCAAACGTCATTTGCAAAAACTAGGGAAAATAAATTAATAATGGATTCCTTCATGACCGTTTTAATTTGCCTGGTTGGTAGTATTAGTGCCGCCTTCTGTTTTGGTCGTAAAAAATGCCAGTGGAACTTGCACTCAACAAAGGTCTTTAGCAGGGAATCAATGAAATGCAACATACATTAAATCAAGTCAATGTCAGACAATTATCGAAGCCATTACTTTTTTTTTATATGGTGCCAACTCTTACCTTTCATGACACTACTTCAACAATTAACAAAAATTACTAAGAGACAATTAATAGCAGCTCAAGCAGAGGCTATTGTACTCGCAGCTTGAACTAATATAGCTTTATAAACACTCTATGCGAAAGTAAACATCATTTATCAAATTGGTAACAGGTTATACACGACCTCTCTGATCCCGGCTGGTCCGATTGGACATGAGAGTCTGGGCTATCATATTTCCTAAAGACCCAGAGTTGACTATAGCTAAAGGTAAAAGGAGGAGTTCTACTTGCGCGTGATCATCAAGACTGTTTGGTCCAATTGTTTAATCATTCTGGTGACACTTGCTCGTCAATAAAACCAGAGAGTTTTGCATCAAAAAGTGGACGAGGCCGTTTCTTTCAAAATTTGGATAATCCTCCTTTATTACCTTCTATTTAACATAAGATAAGAGACACCCTTTATTTTCCCACAGTGGGAATTTTCATTGTTGCCAGCGCACAATACAAGTCCACAGTAAGAGCCAAAGATGTATCACAACAAAATATAACATAACTGCTGTGTTTCCTGAGCTAGCTCCTAAATGACTCAATATAATCTATCATTATAACGTCCTAGTGATCTAACAGTGTAAAGATATACAATTATATATTTTGTCCAGCAGTGTTAAAGTGGACAAACTTTATTTGTACTTTTATGGGGAAGACCAAGCTAACCAGCTTCTTTCTCTGGATAAAAGTGGCAGGGAGCTACTCCTTGGTACGATTGAAATACAAGTAAACAGAATGGTGCTAATGATCAAGTGGTTTTTTATCTTGATTATATTTTGAGGTTCCTTGCACAAAGATTTTGAAATGGCACAAATGCTGAAACATCAATCTATTTTCAAGCTGGCAAAGCATTGGTATTCTTTTTTCCATTTGGCAAATCCTGTTTCAAAGGTCTGTCACCGTGGGGCCCAAAATGCCGGACCCCACGAGTAGATTTCATTCCAATTCCTGTTCAGAAGCATATTCTACTACCCCCCATGCCTTTTTTATCCTTGGACCATGAGTACGCACAAACCAGTTTAGTGTGTGTAAAGTGTGTGTACTCAGTATCTCCCCCTACAGGTTTTGGGTCGCTAGTGTTCTTTTGAAAGTGTGTGAAAGTGTGTGTGGACCCAGCCAATGAGATTGCGGGTTTCAGGTCAGGTGACACATTTCAGCCAATGAGGACGTGTTTGAGATCTGGTGAAACATTTCAGCCAATGAGAAGCGCATAGACCTCATTAATGCGCTCAACAAGCAGGACCACATGTGCAGCGGCATACTTAAGAGTTATGGAGAAGAAAAAACTAATTATTAAATAATTATTTTAGAATTTGAAGTCAAGACATATATGGGTAAGTGCATCCCTCATTTTTTTTTATAACTCATGTTGATGTGCGTTACATTGCCATGTTAGCTAATGTGGTTTGGCTAAGTTAATAATCGTGATTTGAGGATTAGCTTTATTAGTACTAGTCTTAGGCTACCAACAACTATGAGAGGAGATAATGTATTCATTCACCAAGCTTACGGCATTGATACATGTGGGGAGATAGTCTATCTGGGCTGGATGTTATCTGTTAGCTAGATATAAGCTGTTAGCTGGGTGTTAGCTGTTAGCTGGATGTAAGCTGTTAGCTGGGTGTTAGCTGTTAGCTGGGTGTTAGCTGTTAGCTGGGTGTTAGCTGTTAGCTGGGTGTTAGCTGTTAGCTGGATGTAAGCTGTTAGCTGGGTGTTAGCTGTTAGCTGGGTGTTAGCTGTTAGCTGGATGTAAGCTGTTAGCTGGGTGTTAGCTGTTAGCTGGATGTAAGCTGTTAGCTGGGTGTTAGCTGTTAGCTGGGTGTTAGCTGTTAGCTGGGTGTTAGCTGTTAGCTGGATGTAAGCTGTTAGCTGGATGTAAGCTGTTAGCTGGATGTAAGCTGTTAGCTGGATGTAAGCTGTTAGCTGGATGTTAGCTGTTAGCTGGATGTAAGCTGTTAGCTGGATGTAAGCTGTTAGCTGGATGTAAGCTGTTAGCTGGATGTTAGCTGTTAGCTGGATGTAAGCTGTTAGCTGGATGTAAGCTGTTAGCTGGGTGTTAGCTGTTAGCTGGGTGTTAGCTGTTAGCTGGATGTAAGCTGTTAGCTGGATGTAAGCTGTTAGCTGGGTGTTAGCTGTTAGCTGGATGTAAGCTGTTAGCTGGGTGTTAGCTGTTAGCTGGGTGTTAGCTGTTAGCTGGATGTAAGCTGTTAGCTGGATGTAAGCTGTTAGCTGGGTGTTAGCTGTTAGCTGGGTGTTAGCTGTTAGCTGGATGTAAGCTGTTAGCTGGATGTAAGCTGTTAGCTGGATGTAAGCTGTTAGCTGGGTGTTAGCTGTTAGCTGGATGTTAGCTGTTAGCTGGGTGTTAGCTGTTAGCTGGATGTAAGCTGTTAGCTGGATGTAAGCTGTTAGCTGGATGTAAGCTGTTAGCTGGATGTAAGCTGTTAGCTGGGTGTTAGCTGTTAGCTGGATGTAAGCTGTTAGCTGGATGTAAGCTGTTAGCTGGATGTAAGCTGTTAGCTGGATGTAAGCTGTTAGCTGGGTGTAAGCTGTTAGCTGGGTGTAAGCTGTTAGCTGGATGTAAGCTGTTAGCTGGATGTAAGCTGTTAGCTGGATGTAAGCTGTTAGCTGGATGTAAGCTGTTAGCTGGGTGTTAGCTGTTAGCTGGATGTAAGCTGTTAGCTGGGTGTTAGCTGTTAGCTGGATGTAAGCTGTTAGCTGGGTGTTAGCTGTTAGCTGGATGTAAGCTGTTAGCTGGATGTAAGCTGTTAGCTGGATGTAAGCTGTTAGCTGGATGTAAGCTGTTAGCTGGATGTAAGCTGTTAGCTGGATGTAAGCTGTTAGCTGGGTGTTAGCTGTTAGCTGGATGTAAGCTGTTAGCTGGATGTAAGCTGTTAGCTGGATGTAAGCTGTTAGCTGGGTGTTAGCTGTTAGCTGGATGTAAGCTGTTAGCTGTTAGCATAGCGTTTTCTGTTAGCTGGTGTTAGCTGGTGTTTGCTGGACGTTAGCGGGTGTTTTTTAGAATTCTAAACATTAGTGGAAGTTGTACTGAGTTCAGGGTTCGCACAGTGATAATCTAAAAGTGATATTAGCCTATATTTTGATGTATTTCAATGGATAAGCTGTCTGGAACGTTTAAAGTGTAGACTGGCGAGACTGGCATGCTCCCGGTCAGGGTCACAGCATGTTAAATGAGTTATACTGCAACACTTTCTTGGGCCAGAGCGCATCCAATTTAATGAATGTGTCTTTAATTGTTTATATTATTTAAAGCGTTAGTTCCTTGAAAAAGTTCCCATTTTACCTTGAAAGTGCTTGAAAACTACTTGCATTTTACACTTCAAAAGCTATACAAACCCTGTGACTAGTATGATGTGAAATATTTCCAGAGCAATAATGTTGAAAAGGAAGAGGAGAACATCACCTTTAGATGATGCAAGGACTTGTATACTGTCAGCAAAGGACAAGCCAGGATGTGTGGAAAAATTCATTGATTGTTACAAAGGTAAGTGACACTGAAGGTGTTTAGTATTGCAATGAACAATGGAGAGTTAGCCAGTGCATATTATTATTTTTATTTATATTTTTAAATCCTGCAAATGGCAAATAAACTAACTTCTACTTGGACTGGACAAACTCTGCGCCTTTGAGAAGAACCTACACTAAAACTATCTGGTTTATCCATGGAAATAAGGTGTTTTATGCCAAACTGTACAAGATTACAGACCAAAACAAACAAACAAACCTATAATATATAAACAAACAAATGGCTCTTATTATTCCAACCTGCCTCTGGCTGCACTAATCCTAAAAAAAACCTTTCAAATAGGCAGTGCTGCAAAAAAAATATATATACAAATTCTAAATACATTTTATTATAAAAGATCAATATTTCTTTTTTTTGCACACATTTATTTACACCACATTTAAGATGATAATTATTCAGCATGTAGTAGAAGACAAAAGGTTCCTTCTATTTTAATTGTATGTTCTTATAGGAAGAGGAGTCTACGCTTCTGAGCCAATTGAAGCAGGTGCTTTTATCCTGGAGTACAGGGGTGAATTATTATCCATGGAAAAATGTCACTCAAGACACTACTCTGACATTGAGAGCACCTTTCTGTTTAATTTTGAATGGCAGAAACGTCATTGGTGGTAAGCTTTTGTTTTATAAAGAAGACAATTGAATTTAAAACTTTAAACCGTATTCTTAATAATTAAAGGTGTTTTAACTTGGTAATTCCACATATTTTAAATTTTAAATTAATCAACATTGTGTCTGTTGTCACATTTCAAATGTCATCTAAAATTACCTCTACCTTCGAACATTTGGTATTTATGACTAGCATGGCGGTCAAAACTGCTGAAAATATGGCATTTAAATCCATCCAATTGTGAATATATCTGAAATGTTGGTATGATGTACCAGAATTTCAGAAGCTATAATTTGCAGACACTGTGTGGATCTACTCCTGTCCTCTCATGAAGTACAAAGCTGCAGATGTTTTGACAAATCCCTTCAATCATTAATATTTAATGTTGAATGTTTGTATGTTTTAAAATTAGAATTTGGATCTCACGCAGTTATTGACAGTTGTACATAGTAGTATGAAGTTTAATGGGCCTTCTTTGCATTCACCTTTTTAGTATTGATGCTTCCAAAGAAGATGGATCCCTGGGAAGATTGGTCAATGACAACCACAAGTCACCAAACTGTGTCATGAAAAAGATAACCGTGAACAACAGGCCTCATTTGTGTTTGTTTGCGGTGAAACAAATTGAAACAGGGGATGAAATTGAATACAACTATGGAGACTCAAAATGGCCCTGGCGGGGAAAGGTATTTTTTGTTTGTTTGACTTTGTCCTCAGATGTTAAAATAAGTGTGTGTGTAAAATGTGGTTAAAATAATGATTGAGTTCAAAGTTATGTTGTTGTATTTTCTATGAATTACAGGTGGCAGTGGGTCCAGATATTGTAGCAGCAGTCCAGACTACCACGCCCTATCCGGATCAGACCTCCCAAGACTATTCAAAGAGGGATGGAGTTAAACAGGTGATACACTCATTCATTCTGTAGTCAAGTATGTGTTGACCTCTCTACTGTCCTTTTCAAGGTAGGATTGTGATGACTTTGCTTTAATCATACAGGCTTTCATAAATGGTTTCTCATGATTACCACATTATCTGTTTAGTCTAAATATTAAAGAAGTAAGCTACATTTTTTCAGTTAATATAAGTCTTAAATAGTCATGTTGCAATTGCAATCACTTATATAGTGTTTGGAAAAGTAGATTTGGTATGAATGACAATGTGTCATTACATTTGATAATCTCATTTGACTTCAATTGGAGTGGATTTGAAATAGAATGTTAAAAATGCAATTAATCTTGAGTTAACTCACCATAACTATATGATTAATCAACAAAAATACATTAATCGCTTGACAGCCTTAAGTAAAGTGAATTTTTATGAACAATTTAAAAAAATAAATCTGGTCTAGCTTCTTTTAACGGTGCTTCCGCATCGGCAAACAGGCTATAGCTGCACTTGTTTATAGTCACGGGAGAATGAGAACCAAGGCTGGAGGCATATGTTCACAAGCGCTAACCCCCATTGTCAATCTTGGTTTAGTCCTGGTTTGGCTGTTTACTAGTGTCTTCAGTCTTCTTGCTCTGACCGCTAGTGTCCCCTTGACCACTGTGCCGCACTCTGATTGGTTGCCACAACCATAGACTGTACAGTCAAAGAGGACCATGTGTAGGGATGAGGGTGAGTCTGCAAGCTTACTGCTGCTTTAAAAGCAACTTTAGCATCACACTCATTGTCATCCGTGGGGCCCACACACTCTTGTTTGTAGAATAATCTTTATGAATCCTGGAAACACACCACTGATGACTTTTACACACTCATGGGGCCCTCCGTCTGGAGCTAACACTGAGTGATCACATGACTTAAGGAAAGCATTTCCTTGGACTTAAACTGCACTACTTAAGAGATCTCAGTTATGTTGTTGTATTTTCTATGAATTACAGGTGGCAGTGAGTCCAGATCGAGTAGCAGCAGTCCAGACTACCACGCCCTATCCGGATCATTCCACTTTGAATTCTCTTGTGAGTATGAAATGAATAAGTGTATTACCGTTTTTTTAACTCCAGCCCTCCCAACTATGTGTTGACCTCTCTACTGTCCTTTTTCATGGTAGGATTTGTGATGACATTGCTTTAATCATACAGGCTTTCATTCATGGTTACTCATAATGTGATGCTGTATAATTGTTATTGTGAGATTGACATTTATCTGTTTAGTCTTATGTTAATTGAGCCCATTTAGCATCATACACCCGTGTATTGTCATCCGTGGGGCCCACACACTCTTGTTTGTAGAATAATCTTTATGAATCCTGGAAACACACCACTGATGACTTTTACACACTCATGGGGCCCTCCGTCTGGAGCTAACACTGAGTGATCACATGACTTAAGGAAAGCATTTCTTTGGACTTAAACTGCACTACTTAAGAGCTCTCAGTTATGTTGTTGTATTTTCTAACCCCCGCTCTCTCTCTCGTCTAACGCACACAAGCCAAGGCTTCTCCAACACGTTACTGTCCCTGTGATTACGAGAGGCATGAAAATACATCTGTGGGAAGCACTATTAGCGGGGATTTTGGCTGAGATTTTAGCGAAGGGCGGAGGTCGTGGCGCGGCGCCCCAACGCGAGTTCCAGGCTTGTTCTCCGCAAATCTAACTTGTATTCGGACCTCCCAATGACAGCCCTGACTCTGATAAACAATGTTCTCACCACTGACTCTGTGCAAAGTGTCTAAAGTTAGTGTTTGGTGCGGTACAACCCTCACACGCAGCCTCGCAGCTAAATCGCTTCACTATGATTTCCGCAATAGTTCAACTCGGTCTTGCTCGAATATTTTGTATGGGAGCATGACGTTTTTTTGGGCCAGGGAGGTAGTCTGACATGTCTGCCAACTAGTGGCAGGGAGTATGAATGAATTTTGACAGTCTGTTGTACACACTCGGCCCTTTTAAACAGTACCACAACTTGTCGACTTAAGCTGGGCACCGCCCTCCGTGGTGCCTAGAGGGTTAATCATACTTTATCTGTTTAGTCTTATGTTAATTGAGCCCATTTAGCATCATACACCCGTGTATTGTCATCCGTGGGGCCCACACACTCTTGTTTGTAGAATAATCTTTATGAATCCTGGAAACACACCACTGATGACTTTTACACACTCATGGGGCCCTCCGTCTGGAGCTAACACTGAGTGATCACATGACTTAAGGAAAGCATTTCTTTGGACTTAAACTGCACTACTTAAGAGCTCTCAGTTATGTTGTTGTATTTTCTATGAATTACAGGTGGCAGTGGGTCCAGATATTGTAGCAGCAGTCCAGACTACCACGCCCTATCCGGATCAGACCTCCCAAGACTATTCAAAGAGGGATGGAGTTAAACAGGTGATACACTCATTCATTCTGTAGTCAAGTATGTGTTGACCTCTCTACTGTCCTTTTCAAGGTAGGATTGTGATGACATTGCTTTAATCATACAGGCTTTCATTCATGGTTTCTCATGATTACCACATTATCTGTTTAGTCTAAATATTAAAGAAGTAAGCTACATTTTTCAGTTAATACAAGTCTTAAATAGTCATGTTGCAATTGCAATCACTTATATAGTGTTTGGAAAAGTAGATTTGGTATGAATGACAATGTGTCATTACATTTGATAATCTCATTTGACTTCAATTGGAGTGGATTTGAAATAGAATGTTAAAAATGCAATTAATCTTGAGTTAACTCACCATAACTATATGATTAATCAACAAAAATACATTAATCGCTTGACAGCCTTAAGTAAAGTGAATTTTTATGAACAATTTAAAAAATAAATCTGGTCTAGCTTCTTTTAACGGTGCTTCCGCATCGGCAAACAGGCTATAGCTGCACTTGTTTATAGTCACGGGAGAATGAGAACCAAGGCTGGAGGCATATGTTCACAAGCGCTAACCCCCATTGTCAATCTTGGTTTAGTCCTGGTTTGGCTGTTTACTAGTGTCTTCAGTCTTCTTGCTCTGACCGCTAGTGTCCCCTTGACCACTGTGCCGCACTCTGATTGGTTGCCACAACCATAGACTGTACAGTCAAAGAGGACCATGTGTAGGGATGAGGGTGAGTCTGCAAGCTTACTGCTGCTTTAAAAGCAACTTTAGCATCACACTCATTGTCATCCGTGGGGCCCACACACTCTTGTTTGTAGAATAATCTTTATGAATCCTGGAAACACACCACTGATGACTTTTACACACTCATGGGGCCCTCCGTCTGGAGCTAACACTGAGTGATCACATGACTTAACCCTTGTATTATGTTAAGGGTCAATTTGACCCCTTTCAGTTTTTGTGTTGATCAAATTACTGGTTATCCTTCCTTTTTCTTGCTGAAATTTGGTGACTTTTCCTCATCTAGGGTCATGAACTGGTGTGTAAAATCTGGACACTTTGATGTGTAGTGGAATGTCTGTGCAGAGTTTGTATACAAAGATGATGTTGCGGGTCATTTTGACCCAGACGCTTTAATGTGGGTAAATAGTTGTTCAGATCCAAAAAAACATGTCTCTTTGACATTGTATTTTGATTGCCACTGAGACCCAGAGCCAGGTGTGTAAAGCGAGGGAACTTTCTCACACTTGTCCTTGTCACTGTTTCATGTCATCTCTTTTGCCTAGCGTACGTCGTACTGAACTGATTATATCCGTCGCCTTTGAGTTGATGCCCCGCACACATTGACAATCTGGCGAAAACGGGCAACTCCCAGTAGCAGGCCAGTCTGGGGAATAACAGCGCGTACATCGACAGCAACTGGCCTCAACTACAGTGTGTTTTCTGACATAAACTGTGGAGGGCGCGCAATACACACAATACACACATGTTGTTGGAGCGCGCACATCGGGTGATATCTACGGATCTGAGTACAACTAGTTACCAAAAAGTAGAATACGGGCAACTGACTGAATCCGGAGATCGACTGTTTATCTCCAGTTGTAAGAGCGCTCACATCGACCGATTTCGACAACTGATCATCTCCATCATCTACTCTCAGTTGCCAAAAGCCGCCTTGCAACTAGTTGTCTCCAGTTACTCTGTCGATGTGCGCTAGGCTTTAGACAAACTCACCAAAAATGAGCTCCAGAAGGATGACGACATCTGAGGAGGCTTTATCACAGATTTTTAACTGGGATATTTGTGATGACATTGCTTTAATCATACAGGCTTTCATTCATGGTTACTCATAATGTGATGCTGTATAATTGTTATTGTGAGATTGACATTTATCTGTTTAGTCTTATGTTAATTGAGCCCATTTAGCATCATACACCCGTGTATTGTCATCCGTGGGGCCCACACACTCTTGTTTGTAGAATAATCTTTATGAATCCTGGAAACACACCACTGATGACTTTTACACACTCATGGGGCCCTCCGTCTGGAGCTAACACTGAGTGATCACATGACTTAAGGAAAGCATTTCTTTGGACTTAAACTGCACTACTTAAGAGCTCTCAGTTATGTTGTTGTATTTTCTATGAATTACAGGTGGCAGTGAGTCCAGATCGAGTAGCAGCAGTCCAGACTACCACGCCCTATCCGGATCATTCCACTTTGAATTCTCTTGTGAGTATGAAATGAATAAGTGTATTACCGTTTTTTTAACTCCAGCCCTCCCAACTATGTGTTGACCTCTCTACTGTCCTTTTCATGGTAGGATTTGTGATGACATTGCTTTAATCATACAGGCTTTCATTCATGGTTACTCATAATGTGATGCTGTATAATTGTTATTGTGAGATTGACATTTATCTGTTTAGTCTTATGTTAATTGAGCCCATTTAGCATCATACACCCGTGTATTGTCATCCGTGGGGCCCACACACTCTTGTTTGTAGAATAATCTTTATGAATCCTGGAAACACACCACTGATGACTTTTACACACTCATGGGGCCCTCCGTCTGGAGCTAACACTGAGTGATCACATGACTTAAGGAAAGCATTTCTTTGGACTTAAACTGCACTACTTAAGAGCTCTTGTTTGTAGAATAATCTTTATGAATCCTGGAAACATCACGTTGATCCAGATGGTGGGCGAGTGTGCAAAAGTCATCAAAGACAAAGTGCTCACAGTTCTGAAGGAATACATTTCTTGCTAAATTACTACCAGCTAATTTGGCGCATATTCTTGACGTCACCCACATCTATCTACAACACTCGCGTTTGCTGATTGGTCGGAGGGGATTCAACCCATGTAATTCCAGACACTAGGACCAGCCCCAGACAGTACTTTTAGGGAAATGATGAATGATCGGAGTTTACGGTCAATATGGTCTTTATATTATTAGAGAAAATGTAGCATCATACTCATATTTTGTCATCCGTGGGGCCCACACTCTTTCTTCCTTTTTGTACACAAGATGCATGATTAAAGAGCTCTTAGTTATGCCCTTGTATTTTCTCTGACTTACTTTCAGGTTTCAACTTCCCAAAACTTTTCCCTTGTCAATTATTCAGACAGTGAAATTGATGAGGATTGTTTAAAAGAGCAACCTCTCACTAGAGGAGTTGCCCTTAAGAACTCTTCAATTGAAAATGTTCTGGTAAGCCTTTTATACCTTGAACATAATATTGACAGGCAAGTGGCTTTATTTTGCTTCCTCTGTGATCTTTTTTTGTTAGAGATTACCAGATTACTGTGAACCCATCCCTGATTCCGATGAGTCTGTTGTGTATGAAAGCGATCATTTTTCAAACTACTCAATTTTGCCATCTGACCAGCAAGCTGTCCCAAAGCTGAAAAGGACAAAAAGCATTATAGTATGTGTGCTATCTCCATATTGTTTACTTTTTATTTGACTGTAATAAGTGAAAATTATAACTTTACACAACTCCTTTTTTAGATGAAAAGTAGAGTACCAGAATTTTCTGACTCCCTTTATGATTCAAGTGATGAATGTCCAGCGGAATCACTTGCTTCTAGGCCTTCTCGTAGGCCAAAGAGAGTCGCATTCTGCCCTGTAAGCAATTTTTACATCTTTATAATTTATATCTTTTAAAGTGTTCATTTCCTAGAACTAATGCTCTCATCCATTTCTTTCTGTCTTTAACAGGCTATAGTAGAATCAGATGACTCATATGCAGGTAGCGAAGATGACTACATTCCAGACAAAAAGGATGAAAGTACAGACTGCAGTAGTGATGAATACCTGGAAAATAAACAAAAAGCATCTGCTAGTACAAGCAGAAGTAAATCATTTGGTCAGAAAAGACTTGAGTCCAGTCAGAGCAGCAACAGAGACGAAGGTGCTTCATTATCTCTTGACAAAAAATCCTCTAACAGTGCACCCATAAGTCAGTCATCTGTTTTTGTCAAGCCAGTTTCTAAGAAAGGTGATGCGAGAAATTATGATAAAAAACATCACTGCCTCTATTGTGGAGTAATAGTACAGAAGATGTCAAGACACCTGATGCGTAGACACAAAGATAAGGTTGAAGTTGGAAAAATTCTTAGTCTCCCAAAGAATTCTAAAGAAAGGCGGCTGCAATTCGACTATATCCGGAACAAGGGGAACTATGAATTTAACTGTAATGTCATGGAGAAGCAAACAGGAAAGCTAATTCCAAGTCAGCAACCAAAGAAAAAAACAGAAGGACATGAGTACATGCATTGCTTGCACTGTTTTGGATTATTCAAAAGAACTTTGATGTGGCGACATTTTCAGAAATGTAAATTGAAGCCTCTGGATAAATCTAAAGGTAAACAAAGAGTCCAAGCATTGTGTGCATTTGCTGAGCCCACTCCAACTGGATTTAGCGACACTTACTGGAAGTTTTTAAGTGAAATGAATCAAGACAAAATTACACTTACTGTTAAAGAAGACCGGTTCCTTTTAGAGTTTGGTTACAGACTGTTCAAGAAGAATCAGAGGGTAACCAGTCAATACCCACATATTCGCCAAAAACTAAGAGAGCTTGGCAGACTGGTTATTGAAGCTAAAGAAATTCACCCAGTACAGACAATCATGGAACTCATTAAACCGGAAATGTATAATGTTGTTGTCAGTGCTGCAAGACGCCTGGCTGGAGTAGTAGAAGAAACCGGCAGATATCTACGACCATCTCTTGCCCGCAAAGTTGGACACAGCATGCATTCTTTGGCCCTGTTTCTAAAGTCTGAAGCACTGAAAATGAAAGACCAACAAATTCTTCAAGATGCCACACAGTTTGCACAGCTATACATAGAAAGTTGGAAATATGACATTGCAAGCCAAGCACTTACTCAACTTAACCAGGATAAGTGGAATGTTCCTGAGCTCCTACCATTCACACAGGATGTCCAAAATCTCCATTCTCTTTTGTCTAGGAAACAGCAGGAACACATAAATGCCCTCAAAGAAAAGTCTTTGACCTCACATTGGAGAGAGCTTTCTAAAGTAATCCTGGCGCAAGTGATCCTGTTCAACCGTCGTAGATCAGGAGAAGTGTCCAGGATGCCCCTGTCTTCGTACTTGAATAGGGATACATCAGAAACGCACGAAGATGTAAATCTGGCTCTTACAGTAGTCGAGCAGAAACTTTGCAAATACTTTGTGAGAATAAGCATTGTTGGAAAGAGGGGAAGAAAAGTTCCTGTTCTCCTCACCCCGCTCATGAGGGAATCAATTGACCTTCTTAATGAAAAACGTGAAGCATGTGGTGTGTTGAAAGAAAATGGATTTTTGTTTGCGTTGCCCCATTCTCACAATTGCCTCAGGGGTTCTGACTGTATTAGACAGTTTGTAAATGAATGCGAGGGTCTCAAAACTCCCCAAGCTCTGACCTCAACGAAACTCAGGAAACACATTGCAACCCTTTCCACCATTTTGAATCTCAAGAATACAGAACTTGACCAATTGGCTGATTTCCTCGGCCACAACATTGCTGTCCACAGAAAGCACTATCGTCTTCCAGAGGCTACTCTTCAGATAGCCAAGATGAGCAAAGTGCTCCTGGCTATGGAACAGGGTCGTCTCGGAGACTTCCAAGGGAAAAGTCTGGATGAGATCAACATCTCAGTGAATGGTATTAAGTCTATTCAAATACTCATGTTCACTATTGCCTGTTAGTGATATCATTCTCACCCCCAGTTTAAAGTTTAATTTGCAGTGAAGTGTAATACAAAACAGGTGTTTCCATTGATTATACTGAATGAGGCCGACTCCTTACATAATACTTTTCTATACTCTTCTAAGAGTTTTTACAAGCTCTCCAACTAATTCATATCCTGTCATTATCTCTTTAGAGACCATTTGCATGAAGGAGGTTCCAGAAGAGGACATGGATGGTGGGTATGATTGTGTTTGAATAAGATTATTGATTATTGATGTACAATATTTGTATTTTTTTCCTCTGATGTGATGACTAATTAGTCTATACCTATTACTATTCAGAATATAAACCTATCCAGCAATAGATGGATAGTTAGATACTTTATTGATCCCCGTAGGATAAATTCAGGTGTCCAGTAGCCACAAAAAAGATCATTCTAATAAGCAAACAATCGTAACAATAAGCAACAACTCTTCAGGTCACAGCAGCAGAGGTGGAGTAGTCTCTTGGTTCAGACCATTTTCTTTGCTCTGGTCTGGACCAGTGTAAAACCATGAATCCTCTCTGCTCTGGTTTGGACCAGTGTAAAACTATGAACACTGTACTGCAGCAACATCTTGAGTAGAAAAAAGCAATTGAAGTTGTAAAGCACAAAACAACTGTTTCAGAGACACTTAGGACTTGCCACCGTTTCCAGCGCATTAAAAAACAGTAGTAGTAAACAGTAGTAGCACTGAGCAGGAGTGTGAACTTTTGAGATTGAGGTATATAACTCATATATACTTCACATATAAGGTCTGTCTGAACAAACTTCTTTTTGTACCCAGTTGCCAGTATGCCAGAGGAGCAGGGGTCAGAGCTCGACTCAGGAGATGAACCTACTTCAACATCTTACTTGCGTAGTCCAAAGCGGGGGAAAAGACCAAAGAAGAGAGGTGAGCTAGGAACAGTGGCTCTCAACCTTACACCGAAAACGCACTAGACGCAGAACGGATGTGGAGGGAAAGTGCAGCGCCCTGGAGTGGATTCAGGTTCTGATCGGCCCATGTTCACTATTGCCTGTTAGTGATATCATTCATCACCTCCAGTTTTAAAGTTTAATTTGCAGTGAAGTGTCATACAAACCAGGTGTTTCCATTGATTATACTAAATGAGGCCGACTCCTTACATTCTACGTCATGGTGCTCCGCCCCTTAGAGAAGGCTTCGCTATGGATAACTCAGAGGCTCCCAGCCTCCCGCCAGAGAGAACTAAATGCTCCAATCATGTGCCAGTCCCATCTATAAATAGCCCTCTACAGCCCGCACCTGCCACTTTGAACTCTGGCGCCATAGAGAGATCTACTCACCGTTAGAATGAAGACTGAGGATGTCGCTGCCTTCTGCTTTCGTCCGAGTTCCACTTTGCCCTCCAGCGTCGGACGAGAAAGTGCAGGGCTTGCCCAGGTAAGCTTATCTAAGAAGAGAAGAGCACTGTCCAGAGTGTGCTTCTTTCTTCCCAGTCAGGAGAGGGAGCACCGCATGGCTCATGCTAGCAAGACTGCCCAAACTTCTCATAGGAAGAGGAGTCTGAGATTCATTTGTCCCTCTCGACCTGTCTCCTGCAGCCAGGGAGTGTAGAGGCGGTGTTGTGGAGTCCAAGTTGTAAGAGACGAGGGGTCTCTCGTCACTCGGAAGGAGACCATTCTGAGGAGAGCGCTGCCCACAGAGCGTTCTGCTATCTCCCCAGGGAGGAGAGGGAGAGAGAGAGAGAGAGAACACTGCGTGACTTATGCTAGCGGCGCGGAGTCACAGCTACGTTCAGACGCTCTGACCAGCTGTTCGTTTATTTGGATCCTAGGAACCAGGGCGCCCCGCTGTCCCCTCAGCGGCTAGCGCACTGGGTTTCCCGAGCGGTCCGCATGGCGTACCAGGCTCAGGGGTTGGTTCCCCCGGTGGGATTCAGGGCGCATTCCACGCGGGGGGTTGCGGCCTCCAGAGGTGCTACGGTGGAGGACGTCTGCCAGGCGGCGTCCTGGGCATTGTCCTCTACTTTTGCTCAGTCGTATCTGGTTGACGTGTCAGAACAGTCGGTTGCTCACTCCGTTCTGAACGCCGGGATCTGATCTGGCCCGTGAGGTGCTCTTGGGTGAGGCAACCTACGGTCTGTGTGGGTTTTAATTATATATATATTCCTTATATATCTATAAATATGTTGGTGTGGGTCAGAGCCATCCCATTCAGGTGCTCTTGATAGAGGCGTCCTGGGATTGGTCTGCCCTAAATTTTTCCTTGTGGGCAGCATGTGGTCCTTCAGGAACTCTTGGTAGAGGCGTCCTGGGACTCTGTCTGACCTTGTCCCTCTGGGGCGTTCTGGCCTTCCCTTCGGGAGCTCTTGGTAGAGGCGTCCTGGGAATACGGCCCGCCCTTTTTCGCAGGGGAAGATTGACAGGGGTCTTGGGCGTCCTTGATCGGCCTAGAGTTTCGTCAGTGTCTTTACGGGCGTCCTTGGTAGGAGCGGCCTTTAACACCTTTAACACTTAACATTCCTTGGATGCCCTGAGGCCACTCACCTTGGAGGTGTTGGGGGTATCTCGGGCAGGGCTCCAATCACTCTACGCTGGCCTGATGGGAGTACATTTCTCCTACGGTTTACGCATGGTTACCCATAGCGAAGCCTTCTCTAAGGGGCGGAGCACCATGACGTAGAATTGGTAGTTACCTAATGAAACTTCTACGAATGGTGCGTAGCCCCTTAGCTATGGGCCCATCAGTCCAGCCTAGCTTTGGCAGAGTTCAAAGTAGCAGGTGCGGGCTGTAGAGGGCTATTTATAGATGGGACTGGCACGTAATTGGTGCATTTAGTTCTCTCTGGCGGGAGGCTGGGAGCCTCTGAATAACCCACAGCGAAGCCTTCTCTAAGGGGCTACGCACCATTCGTAGAACCAATAATGCTTTTCTATACTCTTGTAAGAGTTATTACAAGCTCTCCAACTAATTCATATCCTGTCATTATCTCTTTAGAGACAGTTTGCATGAAGGAGGTTCCAAAAGAGGACATGGATGGTGGGTATGATTGTGTTTGAATACGATGATATTGATTTTAGTTTGCTACTGTTATTGTTATTGGATTTCGATATTTGTATTTTTTCCACTGATGTAATAACTGATGTGATGATTATTTTCCACATATAAGGTCTGTCTGAACAAACTTCTTTTTGTACCCAGTTGCCAGTATGCCAGAGGAGCAGGGGTCAGAGCTCGACTCAGGAGATGAACCTACTTCAACATCTTACTTACGTAGTCCAAAGCGGGGGAAAAGACCAAAGAAGAGAGGTGAGCTAGGAACAGTGGCTCTCAATCTTACACCTCCACATCCGTTCTGATGACATCTGATGATGTCACAAATGATGACGTACTAGATAATTTACTAATTGAGTTGTCAGAATTTTTCTTTCATTGCCAGCATGATGTGCTCAGATGATTTAAAATATGGTTGAGCTATATCTTTAGATTTTTACAAATATTTATATATATATACAAATGTCTTCCACCTCTTGCAACCGTGCCGTAAGTGTCCAACTCTCTGATTGTGGTAGGTAAAGTGGAGCCAGTAAAAAGGACCTGGACACAAGAGGAGTGTGCTGCAGTGGAGAGGCATCTGAAGAAATTCATCGTTTTAATGAAGGTTCCAAAGAAGATGGACTGTCAGCAATGCATTATAGCAGAACCACAAGCATTAGCAAACAGAGACTGGAAAGCGGTAAAAAACTTCATCTATAACCGTATACAATCTCTGAGAAGACTTGAGCAATAGAGCCTGGGTTGTTTTACATTGTTAGTTGGCAGTATTTTCAAGTACAGCATCTATTTTATATGTTCTGAAGTGTATCAGTGAGTTTGCCAAATGTTTGAGAGATTGCAGGTTTCAGAAAAAACAAACAAACCAAAGGACAGGTTTCAGTCCACTTAAAAGTACACCACAGTACTAGTATTAGACTCTATGCCCAGAATAACTTTTTCAATGTTCAAATCTTACATAAAGATTGTTTGAAACTGAACCCATGTTTATTTTTATTTTTTACTGTCCTCTAGTTATAGTGTAAAAAAATCGTATTTACTACAGTATAACGTAAGTTTAACATTTACACTTTTTTGTTTAAAGCTGGAAAGGTGTGGAAGCAATCTTTCTCCCTCACTTTTGGGTTCTGGACCAGCTGTTGGAAGCATCTACATTTGCTGTTTGCTTGCTTTTAACAGGATTGACTGAGACCTCTGAGCCATCTTGAAACAGGTTTTGGGTGAGGGATTACTTTCGATTCACCTGCAGGTTTAAATCATGATCAAATGATAGTTGGGGATTCGCCATGAAACGGGAAGTTGTTGTAACTCAAAAACAAATTTCTCATGTATTATAAGAGCCCCAACTTCAACACGTGTATGACAAAATAAGGGCAAACTCATAGCACCACTTGCTGGCAACAGGAAGTTTCTGGTGCATCATTTTTGATAACCAACAGATTCTCCAGATTCACATCAGAAGCTTCATAAGACCTTGGTGATGATATGAAGCTTGTGTGTTTCCACTGAATGCAATCGCTGTGGCATCAGGATACATTCTCAATGTTCACCATGAAACAGGAATTTGCCATAACTCCAATGTATTTTGTCTTCATAAAATGATCATGTTTGATATCAAGTTTGGTCTAACAGTCCAGATTTTTTACTTATTTAGGCCCTGTTTATACTGAGACGCGTAGACGTTGCCAGGCTATTAACAGAAATGGCCAGGCTCCTTATGCAAATTTCCCAGCGTTCATACAAGGATCAACGCTGTGTACTCATTTCCTCTGCCAGACACAGCAACTGTGAAAATGGGAACTGAACCTAGAGCTTCGCGCGTGGTCTCGTTTGGACGAACGAAGGAGTAGAATCAGATTCAGATTCATTTATTTGCCATTTGCAGTAAAACCACATTGGAAAACTGTGCAAGACTACCCCGGTGTGCGCCAGACGGAGAAGACGACACACACCAGAGCTCTTGCCACGGATCCTCCTCTGTGCTGCGCTCGAAGCACACGGAGCTAGTTATTGTGCACGGCGCCATTCTCCGCTACTGCGCATGTCCAAATTTGGGGGTCAGAGCAGAGGGGGATTTACACCTTTCTCCCTCTCGCGGGTGTGAAAAAGCTCCCTGCTGTGCAGCGGATCTGAGTTGTCCCACTCTGAGGCTGGATCTGAACACTTACGTTTTGACCCCCCTGGAACACAGTCTTTGTATGAACGGTTGGTAGTAACCGACATCCAACTATACCGTTTTACTGCCACATTGTCTCCGTGTGAATGGCCCCTTATATGCCTGTAAAATAACCTGCATCATATCCCTCCTGAGATGCGAGGTCCTGCTCAATGCTGCTTGCAGCTTTAATTAAGCTTGGTTTCGTTTACAGGAAGCAGACCAAAATAAGTGTTGAATACAGACTGGTCGGGTGGATTTAGACTAAAACACCTTTTAAACATAATCTATGTTTTGGTTTGTGTCTAGATGATTATTATAGATGACATGCTAAGCCTGTATCTTGTTACTAAATATCCTCCATTTAATTTGATTTACATCATCACCATATTTAGATATAATCACCCCAAAATTATGAACCTACTAATTCTGAACAGTCTATATGGTCCCTGCTAACATATAAAAACTAGGAATATGTGTGTTTGGCCCCATTGAAATATAAAAATAAGGAATATGTGTGTGTTTGGCCCCATTGAAATATAAAAACTAGGAATATGTGTGTGGGGGGGGAAGGGCCCCAGCAGTCCTGAATGTTAGAAACGATGGACCCCATAGATGGGTAAAAAACTTTTTTCAACAAAGTTTAGAAATCAGTCATTTTGAATAGCTGGTAATTTTATAGATTTTTTTTCTGACTTCCCTGATTTTTTTCAAAGCTGTAGAACCACTGGAAAGGGTGGACCCTGTGACTACACAAAGATGCTTTTGGTCCAGCGAGTATATAAATGCAAGAATGTGTGTGTGTGTGTGTTACTTCCAGACACTTCACCCGTGTGGTTATTTCATGGTTTACCAAGAGTCCGTCGGAAGAACGTTAGAAAGAAGGAGCAGAAGGAGTATTTTATTGCAGATGTGTTGTGTTTCAGATATTTTAGTGTCGGCTCACCCACCACTTTCAGATAGGAAAATCTAGCTTAGGAAGAATCAGAATGTCATTGTAATAAACTGTAATTTAATATTCAGACAAAATGAGTTTGGAGAGGATTGTTGGATTCATAAAACTATTATATCAAAGTTGTGTAAGGATGATTGAGGGATTTTATATCTTTAACTTAATTTTTAATGTACTGTGATTATTTATGATTTGAATGCCTTGTGTGACTGTTTCTATCTTGTTTTGTTCAGCACTTTGAGTTGCCTTTTGTATGAATTTTGCTATACACATTGCCTTGCCTTGCCATGATAGACTGTATAAAGATGGATGCCATAAGGACAATGCTAACCCACTAGCTCAATGAAGCCCATTGGGAAGTGCTAACGGAAAAGGTTTGGCCATTGTAAAAATACAGTATATTGAAACACTTCTTAGTTTCGGGGTGGGTTCTGCGCTCTCTATGATCCTGGTGGCGTTTGTATATTGTGAGATTGTCTTTGTAGATCCAGATTTGAGACATGAGGATGCACCAATCATATGCCTTCATTTGCGAGGGAAACTCCAGCTCTCCATAGCAACCATGTTAGCAACACGCTAGTTTCTATCTGTCCCTGTTACGACGTGAAGCCATTAGAACAAATTCCCATATAAAGAAATTGGCTCCAGCTTGCTCATGTTCAAATCGGCTTCTTCCGCCATCAATATACCTTTGGCAATTAACAACAAACAAAACATTTTTAGTGGTAAATTAAACAAAAGAAAGCCACCTCCTCAATCTAAACTTAATGCTTTCAATGGAAACATGGTCACAAGGAAAGTTATCATGCCGTGTCTCCTTTAATTTATGTCCTTTTGATTTATGCTGTCTCTGTCTGGTGTTTTCTCTAATTACCCCCCCCCCCCCCCCCCCCCCCCCCCCCCGACCCAGAAATGGACTAATAAAGGGTTAGTATGTATTTTCATGTATTTTAATGGCTTTTTTTTTTTTTTTTACTCATGTTTAATCATGTGTTTTATTAAATTTCATTATCCCCTTTTAAATAAACAAAACTGAAACTGAATTGTGAATATTGACGATCATGTATTTTAATAATAGTGTATACAATGCTATTAAAGTCAATCTGATTCAAGAAATTTGCCAAAGAAAGTGAGATTATTTCCTTACGCACAAGTCCGCTTTGAACAGCGTATGGTGGGTTTTAGATTATAGTTTTCCCGTTCCATGGAGGAGGCAGGTGCGTTTGAGGACATGGGGTAAACAGATGAAATATGCATGTGTGCAGCTGTGGAGTTAGATTTGGAAACTGCCTCAACACTGTAACTAGAGTCAAAAAGAAAGAGAAAAAAAGTGTAAGTTCTGCTATGCTGTCTGAGCGCTGTGAACTACGTTAGCTCCGAAGTGAAAAGAAAAGAAACGTGTTAATTTGTCAACGCAAAAAGGAGCTCTGAACACCTCCATTGACAAGTGAGGGAGAGGTTCAATTATATCAAATCATGCAAACAAAATCAGAACTGCTCCAGAAAATCTGTCAGTTACCACATGCATTGTGGGCACATATCCATTCTAATTGGCTAATTAATTTGCCAATTAGAAAAAAACAATGTAAACATAAAATGTGTATGAAAAGACATTACAACGGTAGTGAAACTCTCTGTAATTCAATTCACATTTTATACTGTGAAAAGAATATATGACAGACTTGTTACACTCAGCGTGAGATACATCAAGCCTTTATTTGTTATAATGTTGATGATTGACTCACAGCTTGAAAAAAACAAATAGAACATCTTAAAACGATGAATATTTTAAACGTGGACTGTAAGCAATATTATACAAACAAAAACAAACAAGGGCTTGGCATGTGTTACTTTTCTACATTTTAATAGCCACATTAAATCAGCTTCAGTATATTCAAAAAAGCTGCAGCTCAAGTCCAGACTGGAACCAGAAAGTACCATCACATTAGTCCAGTTCTCAAGTTTCTGCACTGGATTCCATGTGGCTCAGAGGATAGACTTTAAAACAGAGTCTGTAACGTGGACTCTGAGGAGCACAGGGACTGGCCTCCGGCTGGTGTCCAGAGTAAGGGCTATGCATGGGAGAAAATGTGCTTATTCTCAAACAATGTTCAAATCCAGGTTGAAATCTCTTTTAATGACCTGTGATTATGTGAGATTTTAAGGCCTTGTATGATTTTTTATGTATTTTCTTGTTTCGTTATGTCCTTTGAGATGTCTTGTGTATAAACTGTGCTATACTTACCTTGGCTTTGCCTGGGAAAATTAAATCATATATTGGTTTCACGTTTTAAGTTGAAATACAGAAATACATAATAGTTTTGAATTACATTGTAATCCACCAAATTTATTTTGAATTGGTATGTATAGGTAATTTATGTACTGTATATAGGGGTGACAGTGGCTCAGTTGGTAGAGCATTGGCCTTTGAGCCTGAAGGTCTTGGGTTCACCACCACAAGACCTTCCCCACGACTCACACTGATGTCTGCTGTTGTTGTGGGCAAGACACTTAACCTCACTTTGCCTGAAGCCCCCGCTGACGGATCAGTGATGGGGCTGGTGCTTTGTGAAATGGGCACAGCTCTGAATTCCACCACCAGACCAAGAATGGATTAAGGGGAAGAAAATGGATGGATGGAGGTAATTTATTAAAACCCGAATACATATTGATGATAATTCCCATCATTGCGCTCCATTATCTTTTGCCACATTATTTCCTCTCCTCATTTCCTGCCTGCTCAATAATCAGAAAGAAGCGAGGGCTAGATGCATTTGAACTGTTGCACACTATAGATGTTTATGTCTTGTTTAATGCACCAAGAACATTGATCATTACCTTGTGAATGTGGCTCTCTTGGCCTCATGTGATATTATGCACATAGGAAGCACAGGTTCAGGGAAATCTAACAAGCTGCTTCTGTCAGTGTAGAGAAAGTAGAGTGTTGTTACAGCTGATTCAAAGGGTATAATGAATTGTAATGATGTTTTGACTTCTACTTTTCAGTCCAACACAGTAGTATTTAGATTTTAAGGTGTACACATGATCTAATTATTATTTGTGTGACTATTGACCCTCATGA